GTGGGGGGGGCGCGCGCGCGCGCGCGCGCGCGCGCGCGCGCGCGCGCGCGCGGGCGCGCGCGCGCGCGCGCGCGGGGGGGGGGGGGGGGGGGGCGGGCGGGGGGGGGGGGGGGGGGGGGGGGGGGGGGGGGGGGGCGCACACACGCACACACATATATATATATATATATATATATATATATATATATATATATATATATATATATATATATATATATATATATATATATATATATATATCACATGAATTATTAACTTCATCTAATCAAAACTCTTCACAACGCCGACGTGTTTTTACACATGAAGCAATAGACATATCTCACATGAATGGATCTAGTAGTTTGACAACTTTATCATAAGCACAAGGTTTAACTCGTGTCTCAATCTATAGAACATAAGTAAACATTTCCCTTCATATAGTCAAACCTTATTTAAATTCTACGCCCGAGATTTACTTCTATGTCAATTTAAGATCAAATACGAAGTTATGAACTCAACCAAACGCACCACATTTTTTTTCCATAAAGCATCACTGTAAAAATTAAAACGAAAAACTAGTTTCTTTTCCTTTTAATTCCCACTAGAAGCCAAGGGAATAGATCATAAAAGCCCGACTGCATAAAACCAGACTTCACAAAACAAGTGTACTAGTAAACCCAAATGAAAGATACGTGCTTGTATTTCTCTCGATCATTAATCACCGTTAGGAAAACAAAAATTCTTTCATTATATACTACGAATTTAGGAACAATGAAATTTTAAAGCTAAAGCTAAAAATTTACAGCATTCGACACAAAGTCATCATAATTCATATCCCTTCATCTATATTCAAAACACGTAAAGCAACCAACTGTTTCTCACTAAGGTATATAACCATCACGAATACCGCCCCTTTTCGTTTTTAAAATCGGCATTATCAAACGGCTATACACCAAACCAAACCCAACCCTTGACCTATCTACGAAGCACAAAATAAGACGTTTTCAATCCGATATACGCAACCGTGTTGGGCTCGAAAAATGTATACAACCCTAATTTCAGCAAAATTACTCTAGAAAATTAGCAAATATCAAATCATTACAAAAAGAATTTACCTTTACGAGTGTGGAAACCAGTGGGCTTGCAATTTTTGCCCTTGTAGAAACCTCGAGGGCTGTTCTTCGATGTCAGTATATCAAGCGACGACGTTCGCTTTCTTCTGAATGCCCTACCGATTCCCTGTATCAACCCTAGCGGCATTTCTTCCTCCAATTCAATTCCAATTTCTGCACCCGGGTAAAAAAAAAAAGAAATTGCGACCCAATTCAGGAATTCGAATCTCACGAATCGAGAAGAAAAACAAAATTCAATTAAATGTTGAAACATTTTCGCAGCAATCAAAATGGAAACTTACTCTGGTACGCGACGAAATTGTGTGTATGAGCTGCAATCACTTCGGCGAGCTTTAGGAAAGGGTTTATGAATTCAAACTTTTGAGCTTTCTTCGATTTTTCGGGCTACACGGGCCATGATTTTCAAGTGTATTTGGGCTTTCTTCGATTTCTTTTTTAAAACAAGATTTAAAACTTTGGGCCGTATAAAATAGTTGGAAACGGGAATCGAACTTTCGATTTCCGCCAATTCTGATCTGAAAATATTTGAATTTGGAACCCTATTTCTTTTTTCCGATTTTTCCTAATTTATTTGGAACGGATTAGGATTGTATATTGATGGGATTAGTTTGGCAAGTTTGGGTCAAACTCTCCATATTGGGCTTAATTATAAAATACATGGGCCGAAAGGATTTATTGGGCCCACCGACCCAATACACGTCAAAGATAGAAGCTCGCGGCTAACGAGCTCCCAACCCACACGAACATGTCAGAGACAAATCAACCCGGTAGGTGGCGAGGTGAACGAGAGTCATTAGAAATAAAAGACTTGGAGATATTTTTCTTAAATAGATAAGGAAAGTATGTAAACTATTATTAGTAATGGAGCAATCAATGTAAATCTCGACCTAATTAAGGCGAGTTAAACTAGGAAGTGATTAGCAAGATATTCCTATATAAAGTCTTGTAATAAGTCCGATTGAAGACACGATTGAATATCAATAAAGAATACTTTATACTCTCTTCCAAACTCACTCTCTCTCTCTCTCTCTCTCTCTCTCTCTCTCTCTCTCTCTCTCTCTCTCTCTCTCTCTCTCTCTCTCTTTATATTTATATTTTTCGTTTGTCGAATTCATCTTCTTCGGCGAAAAACCGGTGTTCGATGGGTTTTCCGGCGCTCAATGAAGTTGAGCTTGGAAGAAGGTTTTGAGGGTGTAGATCCTACTCCATCATATATAAAATTGCCGGAAATTTTAATTTTCGATCCGATTTTAGTTATGAATATTTCAACTGTTTTTTAAATTATATAATATACTTTGTATGATATATCTTTTAATTCCATAATATAACTTATTTTGTATTTTAATGAAAAATATAAATACCAAAATGTTAAGTAAATTGAAACCTTGGAAAAGATTAATTGGTATCATAGACTCTTCCTCGCATTTTATCTTATCAGAAAATCAAATATTGAACCATCAAGTAAGTTTTTCAAATAAATCTTCACAATACTTTTAGGGCAAATTTGCCAAAATTCCGCTGCACTATGGTCTAATTGTCGAAAAAACCCCACATATGTGTAAGTGTGTAACGATTGACCAAATTTATTAACAGGTACATGTTAATGTTTATAATGTTCTTGTGTGAAATAAAATTTAAAAAATCATAAAAATAATGAAATCCCCGATATATGGTCAAATTCATAAAAACCCCTCAATTATCCATAATTACTAACACCCAAGTTTTGTTTATCTGACATGCAATCTCCCCATTCGTAGGATTATTTTACAAACTTCAACCTCATATATTTTTGATCTAACGATTTTTCGGTGACATTCCTACGTCTTCTCAGTGACTTCTTGACGGCTTTGAAATGATTTTTCCAGTGATATTAATAAATATAAATAGTATTGTATATTATAAAATTTAGGTAATTAAAAAATATAATTCCTGAACTTCATTGATTCCAATCCGAAACTTTTGATCTTGGAGTAAATTTTTTCATTCCAAATGTTAAATTTTTGACTGCCAATTTTAGTTATTTTTTGCCTAAAGTGTTCACCAAATGGATTAAAAATTATCAGAATTGGTTCCCCCAATTGTTCAAATGATGGAATGAACCAAAATGTTAAGACTTCCGAGACTTAAAACTTTCCTCTTCCTTTAGACCTTGGAAAATTCAGCTTTTTTGCACTATCGTTTATACAACAGTTACCGCCAAATGATTCAAATGCGAACAAAACTAACAATACTTCGGGACATTTCATAATTGACTAGCAAAGAACTGGGTTTCGATCCCTCAAAACCGGTCACCAATTTAATGTGACCATTTATTGGTTTTAAGAGGTCAACTTCAATACAAAATCTAATCACATAAAGTTTTTTTCCTCTCGGGCGTAAAATCATCTGATTGCATAAGGGTTGTCAAGAGAATAAACCACTAGAAAAATGGCATCACGGTTATAAATGTACGGGTGGATATCTTAGAATACTAACCCAAATAGGAACAATAGAAGCCTCATTCGCTAAAGCATAGAATAACCTTCTTACAAAGAAAATTGAATCAAAACATGGCGCTAATTCAATTTATGCAACTCAAACGGATTTTGAGGTTTCAAATTATGTATGAAACTTTCCATAACCTTATAATGATGAATGAGGCGCACAAATTTCTCAATCAAGCATTTAGGTTGCGAATTATGCTTCTCCATAAGTTTTCACCCTCATAACGATGGGAAAATGAAGAGGGTGAACGTGTTAATCGAGTGCTATTTGCTGCACTTCGTGGGAGCCAATAAAAAAGATTGGGCGAAGCTCCATGGCATGGCTCAATTTTATGATAACTTGCAGCCAAGTGAAACCTCACGAAGAAGTTTTTTGAATTTGCAACGGGACAACAACCTCTTACGTCGCACATTTAGGAAACGACAATCGACAAAAGGACCTGGAGCGTTGAAGACGGCTAAGTAATGGGAGGAGCAAGACGACTTAGCCCGAGCATGCCTTAAGAAATCTAGGCCACACATGAAAAAATGGGCGGACGACAAACGACAATCAGGGGAATTCGCTGTTGGAACACAAGTTATGGTGAAAATCTTGCCCCAACAATTCAAGGCCTTGTGGAGCATGCATAAGGGCCTTGTGCGGAAATGTGAAGGGCCATTCCCGGTGATCTTCGGTAAGGTATCTTATCGCCTTCCAAGTTCTTTGAAGATTCACCCGGTTTTCTATGTAAGCATGTTAAAGTCTTATCACAAAGACAAAGAAGACCAAAGTCGAGGCAATCACACCGAGCACCACTAGTCATGACGAAGTCATTAGACAAGGAGATAGAAGAAGTGCTCGGCAACCAAGAGAAATGGCGTAGGGGTGTTCCAACAAGCACCCGATTACTCATATAATGAAATGGATTACCTGAGTCCGAGGCAACATTGGAGACTAAGGAAGACTTGTGGTAATTTCATGATGGTCTCCACTTGTTTGAACCACGAGGACGTCGACGGATTAAGCGGGGAGGATGTTAAGGACCACCAAATTTGGCCCAACTCTTTGCTCGTTTCCCTTGGATTAGAGGAGTTTGATCCAATAAAAAGGTTGAAGACTTAGCCAGATAGAGTTTAGCCCATTTTTGGCCCAAGTGTAAATAGGCTTGTTAGAGAATCTTAGGCTATGTTTGATAAAATTAAGCACTTAACATTGAATGTTGAATAAATATATGAATGGTTAAGAGTAGTGCCAGAATGTTGAATGGTGTACCAAAAATTTTATTTGAAAATTAGTTTCTAAATAATATGATTTTACAATATTATCACTACAACTAAAATTAATTTACTAGTTGAATTAAGGATGTCATTTTATGGTATCTACATAAATTTTACATAATCATAAAAAGACAAATCTTTATTCATTGTAAAACAATTCGATCAAAATGAAGATATTACAATGTCAAAATAAAAAAAATATATATTATTATTATTTCGAATATATACATATATTTTTTCTATTTAAAAAGCTATTGCTGATCCAATTTGGTAAACAAATATTGAATATAGACGAAGGTTAATGCTAATTGAGAATGAACATCCGGTGGTGATTGGATTAGTTGGCTAGGTTTAGATGAGAAAGAAAAAAAAGTTGGTATGTTCTATATTATGGGAATACATTCGTCAAAAAGTAATTCAGTTTACTATTGAATCATTAAGTCATAAGTTTGAAACTGGATCGGTAAGTGCCAAAGTGTTCAGTTCAGATGTAATGTCAATAAAGCTAAACGAGATTTCTCTTATCGAACAAGAGATGGTAGCCTATTCAGAGGTCATGAAGCGATATCAAACAGGGCCTTAGAGGGTTCTAGAATACTTTCTAGAACCTTCCATTTGTAAATATTTAGTAGGAAATTCTTTAGAGTGTTCTAGAGAACAACTCCCAGTTCTTAGATAAAATTGATCTATATAATCCATTGAGGAGGCAGCTTAGTAGAAATAGGAGTAGGGACTTCATTATTGAACCATCCAAGCAACTTCAAGCATTCAAGCAATACAAGTACACCCCTACAAAGCTCTCTTGTCTTCTTAAGTTATTTGTTCGTGTCCCATCACTCAGCTTCCCTGACAGCCAGCTGAGACGACGACTAGGGTGTCCACGATCTGGATCATCCCCTTGTAACGCTTGTCTTGTTGGGCTAGTTTGGCCATGGTGATATACTACTCCCTACTTGAGGAGGAGCTATGAATGTTTAATTCTTCAACTTGATAGACACTTTTCTTATTTCTTGTAAAGCGAAGGTATGAGAACCGTAATATAATGGAAAATTATACTTAAATTCCATTCGCGTGTCTTATTTCCCTTGTTCTTAGAGACCCACTAGGCCAAAACAGGACACTAGCGACGAAATGTAGCAACGAAAACATGGTTTTCGCGACGAAAAATCAATGATTGCGACGAAACATGATCGTCGCAAAGGCGGCCATAAAATCGTCGCCAAAGCGGTCGTCGCTAAGCCTGCGACGAATCGTCGTATCGTCAAAATGTTTGGCGACGAATGCATATTTCGTCGCAATAATTCGTTTATCTGGGTTCCTTCGTTTTGTAGCAAATTGCGACCAAAAATATTGTCGTCGCAATATTTATCCATTAGTTTGCGACGTTTTTGATATTTCGTCGCAACAATTTATCCTTTAATTTGCGACGTTTTTAATTTTTCAAAAAACGTCGAAATTTTATTTTTTCAAATTTTTTTACGCTTAATAATAAAATATTAATTAACTTGTAATTAATTATCAATTATAATACTGAAATGTTAAATGTCGTTTCAATTTTACTAATATTGTTTTGACTTCGAACCTGATTTTGACATATTTCTATTTTGATTTTGGCAAAATTCGAAACACGAAAACTGT